CTTTTGCAGTTTTGACCGCTAGAATCGCGCGCACTAGAATACAGGCGGACCCATCCATAACCCAACATTCGCCATTTTTTGCCAGAATTCAGATAGGCAAGACGACAGCCAGGGCTGGCGCCTGCGTATTTGCAATCAACGGTAGTTGCGAGCGCGATAATGAACGCAATAAATTTATCTTTACATTATGGCGAATTAAAAAATTGCGCTAGGTCGTATAGGTTTTCCCTAGATGTCGTTAATTTTAAGATTGAATTTAATTATTTTGGATTCGTTTTAATCCAATTCGTCAGACATTTTTTAATTGATGTCAGTCTAGGATTTTGGTAAACTCTGGAAAAAAATTTCCTTATTTCCTTTGGATTTATGCCGCCCCATATTGTGCCGCCTGAGGCAGCCGCCTCTTCGCCTCATAGCACGGCACGGCCCTGGGTAAATAACTATTAAATGATTAATGGCATATATAAGAGAAAAAGAGACGATTTTGATTTTTATGAATCAAAATCCAGAGAAAAATCTGTTTTAAAGGAGTACCGCGATATTAGGACACGAGTGAAAAGACAAAGTAACTTTCCTTGAAGGTAACGGGTAACAAAATATTTGAAAGAATCGGTTTTTTTGAAAAAATGTCTGACCATGTGAAATTGAAATTTCAAGAGAAGCGGTAAAACTGTCACAATTTTATGACAAAGAAACCGATGAATTAATTTTGGAATGTGACATTTCAAATCCTAGGGGAGGAAACATGAAATTGGTATGAGAATTTTTTTTATCCATCATTTGTTGAGTATTGAAAGCAAAATTTTACAAACCGTTGATTTTGAAGACATAATTCACGATTTTGCCTCTGTAAACTCTAGAAAACGACCTTTGTAATTTGTTATTTTCTTTCCATAATATATACATTAAATTTTCACATTTCAAAAGTTTTTTTAACTTATTCATGTCGTATGCCCTAGAGCACCCCTCCCCCTGTAGGTAAGGGGATTAAGTTCCAGAACCTCCTGCAAATCGAGCCTGGTCGCCTTTAGCTCAGTCAAGAAAGCCAGCAAAACATCTCTTCCACGTGACATGCTCATTGCCACTCTATTACGATTACACCAAAACAACATGTAGTCGTTAGTAAAAAGTTCACCATCTAGAGCACTATCCTGCAGCCATGTTTGCGTGATTGCTATAAGTGGGTAGTCAGCTGCATGTAGGGAAATAAAAAATTCGTGGGTTTTTGGATTGAGACCCCTAGTATTCTGGTAATAGCACAGAATGTGGGTTGTTGCAATTAATTTTGAGGAAGACAGATGGCTACTATGCTGCCCAAGCCGAGGTTCCGGCACAGATGAAGTTAGTTTTTTGGAACGATTTTGGGAACTGGTTTTGGTTATGTGAATATTCAAGGTAAAAATATAGTGGGTCACATTGCTGTAGTACATCAAAAAGTTTTTGTCAAAGCACTAAATCCAATGTGACATTGTTAAAATTAGATACATGATTTAATTGGAAATGATTATTATATGCACACATATCTGACACTGTACCAATAGAGTCAATGGCTTGAGGTGGAATCTAGAGATCAGTCCGAGGTAGAGCAATGAAGCAATCTTCGATAAGGTTCCATTCAATTGATGGTAGAATGAAATCACCAGCAATATAAGGCTCAGCAGTAGGATATTTGCCTCAAATAAAATCAATGGGAACAACATAGCAAGGCAGTGACTTGTGAACAGCAATCAAGGTGCCTCCCATTGCTTTATTTGTGCTGGTTTCAGTGGATCGGTCTTTTCTGAAGACAATGTAGTTGTCCAGCCCCAATCCAGCATTGGATATGGTGTTTGATAGATTGGGTTCAGTAAGCATAATTAAATCGTAATAATTTCTTGAAGAGTTGCACGTTATAGTGATGTCAACTTTGTTCTTAATCCTTGAACATTTCTGGTAAAACATGTGAAGTTCTTTTTTTCCGTCTTGGTCTTGGTCTTGCACCAAGACTCTTGCAAGTCTTGCATTTATATGGTCGGTAATAGAATTTCAATGCCTTTCTAGTTCATATTCTAGATCTAGTAGAAAATATTGAGATTATTACAATTTTCAATTTAATTTTGTTTTTGCCAAGGATCAATTTCCGGCATTCGGAGCGCCGGTAATAGAATTATAGAATCCCTCTGTAGGAAGGTAGGTATAGTATTTTTAATTTGAATTGAAACACTGAAAAAACATCTAAGCCGTTTTCTCGCGTCCACTTTTTTCACATTGGTTCAAAATCAGTTTGAAACAGTCAGTGGAAACACCATTGCCCGTTTCAAACCTATTTTGAACCAATGTCAAAAAAGTGAACGCGAGAAAACGGCTTAGATGTTTTTTTAAGTGTGTAGCAAAACGCCCCAAGTACTCTATGTAATTGGTTAGATGGTAAATGGCGAGCGGTATATTGATGGTGTTTATTTCCTTGGAGCTGCTACCTATAAAATTGTGGAAGGGTCTATTCGCAAAAGAGAGAAACAAACTATTGAGGTTTACTAAATTATATTTTATTATACATAAAACCCAAAAATTTAAATCAGCAAAATATCTTCCAATTCTGACAGCCTCATCTATTTTTCTAAATTCAACTACTTCATATCCGTTCAAATGTCATTATTACGGACCACTGAAATATCCATACCAATACCAATAAAGAAACGCCCTATTCCTACTACTCCTAATAACTTATAAGTTTATTCATTTCAACACTTCCGATTCATTCCTATTTCTATAAATTCTTAAAAATTCCTTTACTGTCTGCTTATGCAAAAATCAAAATTATTATTTGTTCATTAATACATATAGGTATTACTAACTTATTCTTATAAAAACCCTTACAATAATTTCTACATGAAAAATAAAAACCCTAATTCAAAATTCATTTGATGAACAATAAGTTTCCTTTCACAACTTCCCATTTAGAACAATTACTATTTTCCGGATTCCTAGCCAATAAATACAATTATTTATTTTATTCTTATTATTTCGTTACTATAGCGCTTAAACTTCGATTGGACAATCCAATTCAAAATTCTTTAATAATTCCTACTCAAAATCGATACTTGTTAGGTGCATTATAAATTCCCCTTTCAATTCTTTGCAAAATTAATTAAAATGTCATTACACTCGAAGACAATTAAAGTTATGCAATAATGTTCCAAAGTTAATTCACTTCATAGTCATACATCATTTATAAAGTCAAAAAGTTTTCCTAGTAAAAATCACTCAAGTTTTTAGGCATTAAAAGTCATTGTTACTTCACTTCTTATCATTCAGAATCATTGATAAAAGTCAGAAAATTATTAACCACTAAAGTACTTACATTTAAATTTTTCACCCGATAAAATACCTTATTAATTACTCAAAAATCTCTAAAGCTTGCATTGCATAATATTGAACGAATTTAATTGTTCTTTCTTTCGCGATTTTCCGTACTTTTTCTAAGTTAAATCGAACGCGTTTTCCCCGAGGCCTTAAAAGAACTTTTCGCGAATTTCTACAGGACAGACTTATTAGGTACTATAGACTTTAACTCAAACTGGACTGGACTTAAACTGCTAACAACTCAACTGACAACTCTCTCTGATCTCAACTGAAACCGCGGTATTTATATTATTCGATCCCCCCAAAATTTCTTTGTCCATAACAATTAAGATGATGTAATCTCCTTGAAATTTTTGTCATTTTTATCTATGTTTAAAAATCGAATAATTATGTCGCAATATCCTGATTTATCGGGGTCAATACATTGGTTCAAGAATGTGAGGATAACACAAACAAAGCCGATATACGTGTGCCATAAATCATCGATTTAATTACTTGGCCTCACTCTTAATAAGTTCATTGATATATGATTTGAGTTAGAAGATGATATCATGACTAAATAATAGAATTTTTTAACGTATATAAATATTTGAATTTAATTTGGGGTCACGAAAATTTGTTTCATTTTCAATTTATCGATACTGATTTGAAATACCGGAAATTCAGTTTTTGATTATTTGATTATATTTAATTTTTACAGTAAAGATATTGTAATTTACGGGTCTATTTTCCGGATCATTACAAGTGTTTCAATTCAAATTAAAAATACTATACCTACCTATAGTTGTATTGTAAAGTAGGGAAATACACGTCCATTTTTAGTCCTTGATTTGTGATTACAGGCTTCAAATAATAACTAATTAATAAAGATCTACAGTAGGTACCTACAAAATTTTAGAGGCGTTTTCTTGACAGCTTTTGAACACTCTAGAGTTTTCCCTCACACTACCAAAATTATTACAAAAAAAAAACAAATCATGAAGATATAAACCAAAAATCCGAAACAAGCATCAAATTATTTTCTTCGTTAAAAGAAATAATCAATTTCATATTACCTGGTGAAGAACTGCCCAAATAACCGGAATAGAAAACATCGTGTTAATGGAAAACCATCCGTATAATAAAATCAAATTTACAGTCCTAGTTAAACTTTTTCTAGGCCATAAAAATAAAATTTCCAGAGTGGAAATGTGATATTTTAATATTCTGATATCCATTTCGGTCAGATTTTTCTTACCAACTATGCAAAAATATAGGGAGTTTTTCAAATTTATAGTTGTCAGAGAGTGTTAGTTTGAAACGATATATAAAATTCATTGAAGACAAAATAATAACAGAGTAGAAACAGAAAACTTTTTATAGTCTAAAGCTTTTGATTGACATCTTCTCGATTTTGCTTTGATTTTTTACTGACAAGCTATCACAAAACCATCAACTCAGGCCCTTAAATTTTCTCTTTTCAATAGAAATGTTTCTTTTATGACAGGAAATTAAAATTTTAGTAGAACTGATGCCTGGATTCTATTATGTATATGCGTTTAGATGCTCATGATTTTTATATCTCACGTACTTGTATGCAACTTAAACAGCACACACACGCACCCACACAAAACGCAAACGCGAGATATTTAAAAATAGCTTTAAATGTTTCCCAGTCTTTGAAATTTCGTTAGTGAAATAATATCTAGTTTGCAGTTTTCTAGTGCATAAATAAATAATGTCGTCTCGGTACCGTTCCGATCCAGAATCCTTAAGTTACGAAAAACCTAGTGCTTGTTCGAATTTTTTACATTACAGCTGGAAAACTGCAAGATGTATCTTTTCCCATGTAGCACTGATATCTATGGTGGTATCCTACTGTTATTTGGGAGCTGTTACTTTCGAAGCTTTGGAAGTTAATCACGAAAAAGAGGTACAAATCAAAATTATTGCCTCGCTTTATTTCATTGTTCATTATAATAGGTAAAAAAGACTATTCGCCATATTCGAGATAACACAACTTTGTTCCTCTGGAATTTCACTCAAGAAATGGACGCATTGAAGGAAGACAAATTCGTGCCAGTTGCTGAAAAATATTTGAAGGAGTTTGAGAATTCTTTATTGAAATCGATGGCTAAAGATGGCTGGGATGGGGAAGAGGATCCGAACAAGGTTCAATGGACTATGGCTGGGGCCTTGTTTTATTCTATTGTTGTTATTACTACTATAGGTAAGAAATTAGCTTATTTTTTTTTTTTAATTTTGAGCACAATTTATCGTTGTATCAAAGTTTGTATAGACGTCGTGCCACGCTACATTAAAGTCTTAGTAATAATGTTTCAGTCGCCTGATTTTGCACCAATAATGAGTTGTATCAACAAAATTGAGAATACATTTTTACATTATAAATTGAAGAAGATTTAAATTTGAGATATTTTGATCTTGTTTATGACATTCCCATACTAGTCTTGATGACTGTCTGACTCGAAAGGGCCTTTAGTACCGCTCATTGAGTTGAGTATGACTGTTGTAATGTCAGTAAGTAATGGTAAGTAATGACACAAAACCAGCACAAGTATGGCGGACCCGCTACCACTTTTTGTCAGGTGACGTCGCCTCCTCCCCTATATACTACCTCAATGGTACCGCTTAATAGACCTATCTATTTTTACCTGGTATGCGCGCGCAACATGAGGCAATACATTTTTATTGGCTAACTAGTACAGGTGAGAGGTGTTTGTTTTGCACGCTGGGCATCTCCTTGTTCTTGTTCATTATACCCGTGGTCTGACAAGGATAAAAGTACGGTTGATATTCACCTTGACATAGCTCAACAAGTGACATTCAAAAGTTGTTTGAAATTTTCATTGACAAATACGTTGCGTAACACGCGGTCTTTTTCCTTCCTTTTTCATCCCGTGCAAATAAGAAGGATGGTTTGATATACGTAAGTCTAATTTGGTACGTTTTGCCTCGTCTTGCGCAGTGAGCGTTCTGTGTCTTTTTTTATCAAATAAAGTTTTCGTATTATTACCTCTTTGGTAAAATAGATAGGTCTATTGTCGGACATTATCAGGTTCTGCCTGTTAGCTATGGCTCTCCTGTTTTTCTCTGCTGCGCACTGCATCATACTAGTCTGGATGTAGTGGTCGGCTTGCCAACACACAGTCCTTAATGTGCTACTCCACAAGTTTTCCAGTGCAGTATCTTAAGCTCAAATGACAAATGGCGTAAGACTAATGGGTCTTAGGCACTTCGCCGTGTTCTGTGCTATTTTTACAGGCTCTGGTATGATCGTTACCCTAATGTATCTCTAAGTCTGTTGTATATAGCCAGAAAGGATAGACTACCTACTTCTTAGATTAGAATGTTGCAGAGTATCCAGTGTGCAAGTTCAGTTCCGTTCTGTTACATTATGGAATAGATTCCTTCGGTTCCTGTTAACTTGTACGGGTCAAAAGTGTATATTCGCCCATTTGACTTTCTCATAGTTGACTTCGAGGTCAGCCAGTCGTCATTTCAAAAAAGAGCTACAGAAAATAAATGTTTAAAATGCCTTATAGAAAACTCAATGAACGTAATATAAGGAAATCAGAAAATCTAAAACAAATTGTTAAAATGGGAGCTCTTGAAAAACATCGTACAATCACATTTGACACTTGCCAATAATGAAAAATTCAATACTTATCTGAAATAAAAAAATTGGGAGCCTTTGAAAATCAAAACTACTGATAAATTTAAGCTATAATTTATTCTACAAAATAATTAATAACAGTCTTATGAAATAACTTAATAAATGGATAATGCTTGAACTTGAAGTGAACCAGGAATCGTGACTGGCAAATTAAGTTATATTACAATTTTTTGGAATGTGCGCTACCTTATCAAAAATTAAAATAATCAATTTATCTAGCAACATCACTTTTTTGGGTAGATTTCGCAGATCTTCCTAATCCAAAAGCAGTGGGGCCAACTAGAATGCCATTGGCTGCAGAATACTCATTTTGTTCTGAAAAAAAAAAAAATTAATAGAAATATTTACTAAATAACGCCTAGAAAATCAACTAACCTGATGCTGATCCGTAATATCCACTTTCCAAACCAGGTTTTCCGTAATCATTTACGCCACGAATAGGATCTCTGGGACCACCAGGACCAACTAAAATTCCATTTTCAATAGAATAACTTGGATTGCTGGGAACTGGACCTCCGTAGTCTTTTTTTGATGAGTAGCAACAATATTGTTTGCCTACGTCACAGTGACCCTAAAATAATATATTATAAATAATTGATATTATATAACCACTAAAGCTTAGAATTAATATATAACCCCCAAATTTGAAGAAACCCTGTTCAAGTGAGAATTTTGAGAGACCCCTATATTTAGAAGTGGATGAGAAGCTGAAGAAAGGAAGGAAAATGCTTTGTCTTTTTGATGCTGATAACATTTTCAGGACTACTAAGAAAAGCCTGATGAAGAAATCAAACTTACATAAGAGATTCCAGGCGAGTTACAATTAAACTTAGCTGCGCACTTGCACTTGTCGAAATCTTTGATCGGTCCTTCTTTCACCCATGATGGTACAGGACCGGTCAAGATACCAGGGTTTTCTTCTGGTGTTGGGGATGGATAATATGGCTTTTGGTTTGCGTAAGTTGGGTGGTAGGTACTTCCGCCATACAAACCTCCAGGACTAAAAAATAAATATTTATCAATAGTTCTGTCACTTGTACTTGAACAGCACTAAAAAACTATTTGTACCCACTAGGATTCTAAAATTCTACTCGCTTATAAATAAGTGTTACCGTGTTGGTGCAACGAATCCTGGTCCTCCAGTTGTTGGCACGAATCCTGATCCTATTTGTGGCCTTTGACCAAATTGTGATCCAATTTGTGGCCTTTGAACGAACCCTGATCCTATTTGTGGCCTTTGAACGAATCCTGATCCTCCTATCGGTGGTCTGCTAGGTCCGATTGGTCCTTGATTGAGCGGCGGATACTCGTTATTTGGATAGTATTGCGTAGGTGCCGCTGGTTCGTACTCGTTTGGTTCGAAAACATCATAACGACCCTCTCTACAGGACAATTTTTAAGAAATATTTCATGGGTAGATTTAAGATTTTTTCACTTACGAATTTTGTTGAGACAGGCCACTCGAATAGCTTCTCCCGTCTCCGTTGCGGTTATTGTTATTCCAGACCCATTTTTTGTCGTCTCTGTCTGCTTGGGATATGCAGAATAATGTAGCAATGAGAACTGAAACAGAAAAATTAAGTTTAGTGGTACCTAAATTTTTTCTACAAAATTGAGAGCCTGTTCATGTCTTTCTGATGATGGGTTTTTTCCAGAAGATCCAAGTCATAGGTACCTCAAAATACTACCGATGCTGCTTCTTCACTCAAATTTTCTGATAAAATATTCAGTGCATAGAAATAAAGTGCATGGCATACAGTCATTGTATAGGTACTTGTTAAAGTTAGTTATAAAACGTAATACAGGTAGGCAGGTCTGTGAAAGTATAGTAAAAAAAAAATTAATTATGGCTGCTGCAAAGAACAATTACAATATTGAATTACTAAATGGTAATAATTATTGAGTCTGGAAGTTTAGAGTGCAGGTGTTGCTAGAGGAAAAAGGAGTGGCAAAATGGATCGAATATGAATTTAATGATAATGGATACAAAGATGATAGAGGGGAAGAAAAAGATAAGAAACAAGACAAGCAATGCCAATCTATAGTGGTCCAGTGTTTGGATGATGCACAACTGGATATAATTCGAAATAAAAACAATGCATGCCAGATGTGGATAACGGCTTTGAAAGATCGAAATGAGAAGAAAGGGCTTCCAGGACAAATCTTTTTGAAGCGAAAGTTATTATCACTGAAATTAAAAGAGGGCGAGTCACTAGAGAAGCATATTTTAGAATTTGAAAATATTGTTAGGTGATTGATTGCATCAGGTTGCGAAATAAAAGATGAGGACAAATTATGTAATTTGTTATTAACATTACCAAAGTCTTATGAGGCTGTATGTGCGATTGTTGAAAATACAACTGATGTTAAGTATGAAGATGCAAAGAATAAACTTTTGGCAGAAAGTGAAAAGCGGATGTTATTTTATAGGAATGTAAATAGCAGTGGATTGTCAACAGCCTTTGCGACACAGAAATATATAGTGACAAAAAATGTTATATATGTGACTCAACCAATCACATTGACATAAGGCATTTTTGTCCACAAAACAATTGGCAAAATAGTAATTACGGTAATTACAGTGGATTAGGCAGTACCTACAATCCACCAAGAAGCAATGATCACAGTAGAGGTTTTATACGAAGAGGTTCTCAAAATAGAGGTTACCATGGAAGAGGAGGTTACAATGCAAGAGGAGATTACAACGTAGGAGGAGGATTTTTTGCAAGAGGAAGTTTCAATACGAGAGGTTCTACAAGAAGCTTCAGTTTAAGAGGGGGTTACAGCAACAGGTCAAAAGAAGGTGGATTTCAAAATAGTGAAAGTAACTTGGCAGAAGATGAAAGTTTACTCCAAGGTTCATAGTCAGATCCAGTTGACAGGACCGTTCGTTTTCTTGGAGAAAAAGAAATATGAGAAAAAACAGGGTATGTGAAAGGAATACAGTTTTTTATTGATTCTGGGTGTACCGATCACATGGTCAATAAAAAGGAAGTTTTTTCGAATTTAATTTTGTTAAAAGATCCAATTTCAGTTGCCGTTGCTAAAAAAAATGTTTTTTTATTGGCCATGGGAGTTGGAAACATCAAAGCTGTAACTAATGTAGGATCTAAAAAAATTGATTGTACAATTAAAAACGTGTACCTAATTTGAGAAGAAATGAAAATAATATTTGAAAATTCCACAGGGAAGATAGTAGGTAAGGATGGACAAGTAGTAGGAATGGGCAAACGAGAGAATTTGTATGAAATTGATTTTTTTTTGGTGAATAGCTGAAACTATGACTGTTGAAAGTAGCGAAAACGATTATGTAAAATGGCACAGAAGATATGGGCATATAAGATTTTCAGGATTGAGAGAAATAATCAAAAAGCGGATGGTTGAAGGGTTAGAGGATGTTAAAGTACAAGATGTGGAGTTTTGCGCGCCATGTACTAGTGGAAAATGACTAGATTTCCATTTAGAGAAAGAACCAAAACTAAACGAATACTAGAAATAATACATTCCGATGTTTGTGGACCTATCTCACCATCAAATTATGATCTTAGTAGATACTTTGTTACATTCGTTGATGATTATTAAAATATTTGTGTAGTTTATATGATAAAAGAAAAAAATGGAAGTATTTGAAAAATTTAAAGAGTTTGCAAATATGGCTGAGGCAAAATTAAATAAGAAAATAGCAACTTTGAGATGTGACAATGGCAGAGAGTATGTTTCGAATCAGTTTAAAAATTATTGTGCCAGAAAAGGGTATGTTTTAGATTACACTGTAGCATATACTCCTGAACAGAATGGCAAGGCAGAGAGAAAAAATAGAAGTTTAGTAGAAAGGGCTAGAGAAATAACGGTGGAATCTGTATTGCCAAAAGAGTAATGGGGAGAAGCAATATTGACATTATGAATAGAGGGACATCTTCCGGACTAGACAAAACATCATCAGAGATCTGGTATGATATTACAGAGTTTTTGGCTGTACATGCTACAGTCATATACCAAAAGAATGTCTAGGAAAATTTGATTCAAAAGTTAAGAAATGCATAATGATGAAGTATGCTCAGACAGGTTATAGATTTTGGGATATAAGAAAAGAAAAAATAATTATTGCAAGAGATGTGAAATTTAATGAGAATGAGTTTGAATTTAAGAAAAAAGAATATTTGACAGAAAGGTTCGCTGAGATAGACATAGTAAATGAACCAATAGGAATGGTAAATAGACAAATAGACTATCAAACTGGGACAGATGATGATAATGAGATTGTAAATAGAGAAGAGAATAAAAGATTAGTGAAAATAACACGAAAATACGAAGATTATGAATTATACATGATGCATGCAGTTTTGTTGAGACTGTACCAGTAAGTTTTACCTTTTACTGAAATAAAGAATAGAGTCGACAAGGAAAAATGGCTAGGAGCTATAGATAGAGTTGAAATCAATTGAAATTAATGATACATGGGAAAAGGTGGAGAAACAAGAAAACTGTCAGATTTTAAATACAAAATGGGTATTTTCTTATAAATAGATGGAAGAAAATGAAAATGATAAATTCAAAACACGGTTAGTTGTTAGGCGTTTTGCACAAGAAGATTATGATGAGATATATTCACCTGTAGCCAGAATGACAACGATTAGAGCTTTGTTAATATTAGGAAATCAGTTTGGATATATTTTCCAAGAATTAGATGTGAAAACCGCATTCTGAAATGGGATTTTACAGGAAGATGTATATATTTATGCACCAAATGGAATAAAATTATCTCAAAATTTTATTTTTAAATTGAAAAAAATCTTTGTACGGATAAAAACATCAAAATTTTGGAATGAAGAAATAAATAAATTTTTGTTGGATATAGGATTTTGCTGTCTAGAAAGTGATTTTTGTCTTTATATGTTAAATACTGATTGTGACAACATTTTTCTGTTGATTTATGTTGATGACATAATTTTGTGTGGTTCAAATGAACACAACTAAATGACATCAAATTGAAATTATTAAGTAGATTTCGAACGAAAGATAAAGGAGCATTGAAATATTTTCTAGGATTAGAGATTGATTATAATAGATTAACAGGGACATTGAGAATAAACCAGACAAAATACATTAATGATCTTTTGGGACGATTCAACATGGAAAATTGTGATGGTTGTTCAACTCCAATAGAAAAGGATCTCAGAATTGAGTTATGTAATGATTCCAATAGAACAACAAAACCTTTTAGAGAATTAGTAGGATGCCTGATGTATCTTATGCTAGGAACCAGATTAGATATTTGATTTGCAATAAACTTCTTTAGTAGGTTCCAAGATAAAGTTACTGATGAAGTATTTAACTATTTGAAAAGAGTTTTGAGATATTCAAAATCAACCATTGGAATAGGGTTAGTTTATGAGACAAATACCAATAAAGAGTTATGCTGTTATGAGTGTTATGTGGATGCTGATTAGGGAGGTGATACAATGGATAGAAAATCTGTTACCTACTGGTTTTGTTCCTAAAATTTTTGATAAAACTTTGTGCTGGACAACGAAAAAACAAACATGTGTATCACTTTCCACAACAGAATGAGAATTAGTAGCTCTATGTTCATCTGTTTGTGATTGTTTTTAGATGTTAAATTTAATTGCATTACTTGTTATGAAGGACAATCAGAGATGTTTAGCTTTGGTTAAAAATCCAGCAAATATAAGAAGAGTTAAACACATTGATTTGAAATTCAATTTTGTGTGTGAAAACATCAAAAATGGAAAATTTAAATTGAATTTTATTGAAACATCTAAACAGCAGGCTGATATATCCTCACAAAGGGTTTGAATGTTAATTTGTTTGTAAAATTCAGAAATATGTTGAATTTGAAGGATGTTAGCGAGGGGGGCTGTTAAAGTTAGTTGTAGAACGTACTACAGGTCCCCGCAGGCCCCAGGTCTGTAAAAGTATAGTGACAGATTATCAATAAAGTTCAAAAAAATATATAAAAGTAATACGCTAAAATCCTCCCCAAGTTTATGAAAAACTTTTGCATCAACATTTTTTATCATTCTAATATCAGATACTGCAGCATTATTGCCTAAAAAGCATCAAGAACTGCATCCATGTTTTTCAGTAGGGAACTAATTTATTTACACACTTCTACCAAAATGATATGTTTGATTCTGACCTCCAAGACTAAATTTTGCAAGCAAATATGTGTGGGATTTTATGTAGGTCAAGAAAAGGAATCAATATTTATATAAATCTTGATTTGTTGACCTTCAAAAGGCCGTTGGTCATAATAATTCATAACACGATGTCCACTTTAAACATATTCTTATATCCAGTCGACAAAAAGGAAAGGTTCCTTCATGAACTTGTTTTTTTTTCAAAGAAAATTATGAGAAAGATCATAGAATTTCAAAACTTTCAATTTGGGATATTTTCATGTATAGTTTTTCCAAAGTCAATTCGAACAAGGTGAACATAAATCATAACTGGTGGCTGACTAATGGCAGTGCATTTCTTATGGAAATTTTCAGTGACTGCAGTCAGCCACCAGTTGCTACCTCATTCCAATTGTGTTTGGAAATACTATACCTTATAGGGCATTCTATATTCAAGCTCTGTTCAAATGAGTGTATTTGGAAATTCATTCCAATTGCAAATGGAAAGAAATCTCCTCCTCTCTTGGGTGACCAAGATGGGTTAAAAAGGAATGAATTTAAAACAAAAATAGCTAGAGACAGGAGATGTTTAAAATACCCCATAGAAAACTATTTAAAAAGCAATGATTATCTTCGGAACTAAAAACACAAAACATACATTTTTGAAGAAGTTGTTCACAAAAGTAAATCTCCGGTTCGAAAAATCTAATATAAACAGATTTTCCATCAAGAATTAATACTAGAAAAAAAATTCTGGGAGAACCAATTCAAAATAAATATTCACTTAAAGAACCAAAAAAATTTGCACATTTTTTTTGGAAGACTAAGTAGGTATATTGATAATTGTTTCTCAAATCGAATATACTTAATTAAGAAATAATAATTTTTCAGTATGCAATTCATGTTAAATCCCAAGAAACTATTGAAAATGTAACAAAACAATTCATGTAAAGACGAAGAATAATATACATAATTATAACATAAAAGCAATGCAAATATAGTTTTGTACTTACAATATCTAAAAACCATGGTACCGAAAACAAAAATCACCAAAAGAACCTTTAATTATTAACAAAACTAAACAATACTACTGCCTCGAGTAGTTTACTATGTCAGGTTCAGCCGGTATATGTTACTCAACCATTTCGTAACAATTAATTTTATTTAAATCCGTGCCCAGGTTGCAGCAGGTGGAAGTTGCAAATCGGAAGGTGTACCTGAAGAGTGGGGTTTGACTTAACAATTTGCATTTATTAATTTATTTGTGTTTGTTTAAAGGCAACAGAATTATGATCCAAAAATTGATCATCCAATTTTGATTTTTATCAAGGGATGAGCCTACATAAAGGAGAAGTGTCTTTTTGATTTGATCATTATTATTGGTTCTATTACAATCAACCGTTTCGGTAAAAATATAGGAGTATAGGTTTCATAATCCACTTAACGGAACCTCTGTGTGATGAAATATTTTTTCAATAATTTAAAATTTGCTTTCTATTGATGAAAACTAGGATATTGCTAATCTCAAACTGAAACCTAAAACTAGGAAAGCCTGGAAACTTTTTACTATCTGTATCCTGATTATTTCAGATTTTTCTATGATTTCTTTTATGTCAATTTTATCAATGAATACTGTCAGATATTCTTTTGCAGAATATTAAGTTCAATAATTATTTTTTCCAGCTGTTCAGATATCTAAAAAATTAAAAGGTGATGAAGGTTGGCTCCGTTAAGTTAGCCCCCCCACATTCGAATTTTCTAACAAAATTGCAACCATTTACTGTGCTTGAAGTGTGCTTTACTGTGCCGATGATATTTTAAACTATGCCATTCCGATTCCAAAGTTAGAAAATCAACCCAAAATTTATCAGATTAACCGAAACAGGATTCCTATGCAATCGGGAGTGTGCTGAACTGTGCTGTGTCAGGTTTTTCTGAAGCTTTTCATATTCGGTAATTTTCGTACAAAATCTTACTAGGAGGCTAACTTGACGCTCACACCCCCCAAAATTTTGGGAATCAGATCAAACAAAAATGAATTTTGATGCAATCTGAAGTGTGCTGAACTGTGCTGTATCAAGTTTTCCTCACAATTTCCATATTCGGTCATTTTCCGACGAAATCTTACTGGAGGGCTAACTTGACGCTCAGCCTCCCCAAAATTTTGGGAATCAGATTTTAAAAAAATGGATTTTTATGCAATCTGAAGTGTGCTGTATCAAGTTTTTTTGAACATTTTCATATTCGGTCATTTTCCTATAAAATCTTACTGGAGGGCTAACTTGACGCTCAGCCCCCCAAAATTTTGGGAATCAGATCAAACAAAAATGGACTTTCATGCAATCTGAAGTATACTGAAGTGTGCTGAACTGCGCTGTATCTGGTTTTTCTAAAAATTTCCATAGTCAGTCATTTTCCGACAAAATCTACTGGGTGCCTAACTTCACGCTCAGCCCCCTCAAAATTTTAGAAATCAGATCAAACAAAAATGGATTCTTATGCAATCTGAAGTCTGCTGAACTGTGCTTTATCAAGTTTATCTCAAAATCTCCATATTCGGTTATTTTCCGACAAAATCTTACTGGAGGGGCTACTTGATGCTCAGCCCCCCAAAATTTTGAAAATCTAATGAAATAAAAATGGATTCCCATTCAATTTGAAGTGTAGACTAGACTGAATTTCAATTTTTTATAGGATACACTTCAATAGCGAAATCCTTACGCTAAAATAGTGCAGCACTCACACCTACTCCGAGCGATTAAATATTTGCACTGGTGCACATAAGAATCCATTTTTGTTTTGATTTAATTTCAAAAATTTTTGGGGGCTGAGCGTCAAGTTGCATCCACCCGGTAGGATTTTGTCAGAAAATGACCGAATATGGGAATTTTGAGAAAAACCTGATACAGCACAGTTCAGCACACTTCCGATTGTATAATGATCCATTTTTGTTTGATCTGATATCCAAAATTTAGGGGGTCTGACCGTCAAGTTAGCTCCCTAAGTAGAATTTTGTCGGAAAATGACCAAATATGAAAATTTTCAAAAAAACTTCATACAGCACAGTTCAGCACACTTCATCAGATTTCATAAGAATCCATTTTTTTTTCGATCTGATTTCCAAAATTTTGAGGGGGCTGAGCGTCAAGTTAGCCCCTCATCTTGTTTTTTCTATACCTAACTTTGGTATCGGAATGGCACAGTTCATAATATCATCGACATAGTAAAGCATACTTTGAGCACGATAAGTGGTTGCAATTTTGTTAGAAAATTCGAATGTGGGGGGGCTAACTTGACGGAGCCAATTCAAACCTAATATTGTTAAATGTAGATAAAAATAAGGATCTCTTCAAGCACAAAAGACCCTTTATTTGAAATTAAAAATAAAAAACAATTCATCATCGAGTCTGCCCCTGAGATTTAATGAATATTTTTGACCTTTGCCTTGGACCCTGTGTATTCTTGCATCCACTCCAAACAAGAGCATCAATTTGTTTTAATTATAAATATTCACTTTATTGTTTCGGCTCACTGTCCCACCGGATAATCACGAAGGTAAAGCCCTAAAACTGCCAATTAATTATTTAAGTCAAACAATAGTCCGAAACAAATTAAAAAAACGGATTTTTAATTTTTTGTGAATGAAACAAAAGTGGGTCAGTGTCAGAGAGTTGATATGAATACGAATTCTTGTCTGCGAAAAGACATTGATGGGATTTACCGAATTGATGTAGGATGCAAATTTTTAAATCAATGTAACTTTGTTGAGGTTGAAACCTTGATGTATCAAATTTAAGAATGTATTTTTTGTCTTATTTGAAAAATAAGCAAATTTAAATTGATTCCGCAACATGTTTTTAAGAGTTCTTTTTGAATCTACAAATCAAACAATATTTTACAGGGTATGGTCACATCACTCCAAAAACCAATTGGGGCAAAGTAGTGACAATCCTCTACGCTATCCTAGGAATACCGCTAATGTTGCTGTGCCTATCAAACATTGGAGATATAATGGCAACTTCTTTCAGATTTCTTTATTGGAGAGTTTGCTGTTACGTGTGTCAGAAACGTCCCAAGAAACGTTTGCAAAGAGGCAAATCGTTTAGGGCTTCTACAAGAAATGAGTAAGATGATTTTAATTGATTTTTTTGATGATTTGTTTGTTGGGCCTAATGATCGGCTTAAAATACTTGCATTAATTATAGTGAAATCCTCCAAATAAATGAATAATTGATTGATTAACTAATTTATTTTTATTTATTTTAATAATAAAGAGCCATTTTACAAAGAATAACAATAATATAAATAATTCAGATAAGATAGCCAACAATACAAATAAACAATTTAAAAGAAAAAAAAACAACTACAGTGTCCCTCATAGGCCTCATAATGTTCGCTACATATGGGGAAATTTTTTATTTGTAGGATATGGAATTTTTTCTTATGTGCGATCGATCCTGCATGTCCGATAACCTAAAAGTACATTTTGACATTGGCCACGTGATCACTGTTGTGGCGGCAAATTCGAAAATTTAGATATGGCCCTCAGTGTTCTTGCGAGGAGGCCATAATTGGCATGATGGAAGGGGATACGAAACATTGGAGAATCACGCCTCCCTTGACTGGCATTAAAAGAAATGGCATGTAACAGAGAAGGACAGAAGTAGATAACATTAATTATCTTAAATAGAACCAGAAGGTCACAATTGATGTCTTCTCACTTCAAGACTGCCAATATCATCCTGCTGGCTGATTAGACTATAGTTAATTTGATAACCATCACGTATCCTTACATTCGCCCTGAGAGCTAAAAATCTCAAAAATGTTTCCTGCACAGACTCAAGGTCACTAATATGACATGCGTAGTAAGGAGACCCAACAACAGAGGCATACTCCAAAACCGAATGAACAAGCGAGCAATACAGCAACTTCAAGAAATACGGCGAGAGCTGAGCACTGGTACGGGTGACAAACCCAAGACTATGTAATCCCCTGTTGAACAACATCTTCACAATGAGGAACAAAGGTTAATTTGGAGTCGAACAATACCCTCAAGTTTCTGACTGTTTTCACCAACACCAAAACTGAATCATCGATAGAATGTCAACATTTTTCTGCAGTAAAAGCACATCTATATAAGACCCAACAACTCTGAATATTTCAAAATCATCAGCAAAAGCTAAATGCTCTGAATGAATGGACAATAACATTACTCAGATCTCGTATAAACAAATTGAACAGAATAGGTCCAATGTGCGATCCCTGGGACACGCCAGAAAAGACCTGTAGGTATTTCATTTGAGATAAAGTTACCAACCCGCACCAGTTGAGTACGTCCGGTCAAGAGATTTTGACAAAAATATTCCACAATCCTACCCATTTTAAAAGCCTCAATCTAACCAACAAGATGTTCACATGTGTCATGACATCTGTGGTCGCACGACTGACCGTGTCAAATGCCTTCGAGAAGTCTGTGTAAACGCTATCCACTTGTTTGGAATTTCCGAAGGCATTTAACAGATATTGCTGATAGGTGAGCAAATTAGGGACCGTCGATCTACCCCGAGCAAGGCCGTGCTGCTGATCCTTAGGCACTCTCATACAATGCCAAGATTGGTGATGGCAGAACAATTTATCGAAAAGCTTTGGAATAACCGATTGTATACTTATTCCCCTATAGTAAGAAACATCGCCCTTATTCCCACTTTTATGTATAGGTATCAGAAAACTTATTTTCCAGTAGTCAGGTAAGGTACCAGTAGATAAGCAAAGATTAAATAAATAATGCAGAGGCGTGCTCAATGTACAGGGTATTTGATTATATTTGGCACCATACCTACAGCCTTTACTATTTAAGATAGAAAAAAATTGTAAATACAAAACTTGACAGTTTTTTTCTATATTTTCTTTTAACATTATCAGAAAAAACAAAATCGCATCGGAAATGGAGAAACGTAGACAACTTCGACTTTTTTAAATGGAACACCCTGTATATTTTGCGATAAAATGAAAGACCTTTTCTTCCTGATTACAAATATATATATGTTGATCACATTTGCATGAGCCATTTTTGACATATCTCAGGTTAAATTATAAAGAATATGCAGAGAAGTTCCATAAGGATCCCTATCTTTATAAAATTTCTTTGCAATTTAGTTATAATTTAAAATGAGATATGTCAAAAATGGCTCATGCAAATATTATCAACATATATATATTTAAACAAAGGGAGAATTTTTGTCGGTTATAGGTACCGAAACTAGTTTTACAAAGAAAATTTGTGGAAATTAAAGTCAAAGGAAAATTGAAAAAGTTGGGGTTTGTGCAGGATTTGAACCTGCGACCTCCGCATTGCTAGTACGACACTCTACCAACTGAGCTAACAAGCCCGCCTGGTAGAGATCGGCGAATACTGAGATCGGCGAATACTGAGTATTCGCCGATCTCTACCAGGCGGGCTTGTTAGCTCAGTTGGTAGAGTGTCGTACTAGCAATGCGGAGGTCGCAGGTTCAAATCCTGCACAAACCCCAACTTTTTCAATTTTCCTTTGACTTTAATTTCCACAAATATATATATTTGTTATCAGGAAGAAAAGGTCTTTCATTTTATCGCAAAATATACAGGGTGTTCCATTTAAAAAAGTCGAAGTTGTCTACGTTTCTCCATTTTCCGATGCGATTTTGTTTTTTCTGATAATGTTAAAAGAAAATATAGAAAAAAACTGTCAAGTTTTATATTTACAATTTTTTTCTATCTTAAATAGTAAAGGCTGTAGGTATGGTGCCAAATATAATCAAATACCCTGTACAAACACAGCTCTTAAAGGGGGTGCGACCCAAAACTGAAAATTTTTAGTGCAAAAAAATCTGAGAATAATTATTTAAACCGCATCTTGCTAGTTAGGGCGGCTTAAAGTTACAACTAGGTGTTTGTGACGTCACACTGGATTATCAGGCACAGTATTAACACGTGTAAGAATTTTCCACAACAAAAGACAATTATCTCACTAGAGCGAATTGCAACCACTCAAAGTATAGGGTACGGTTCACTGACGACTGAACGAACAGAAGACTGCGATTTTGGCGGTTGTGACGTCGCAACTTCCTGCATAATTTATCTTCACAAGGAATTTTCTAGGAGACTATTTTGAATATTGGGCTGCGGTTTTCACGAGACATCTTAGATTTTTTCTTGATTCACGTACCTAGCTTAAGTCGTTTTTAGGGTCAGAACCCCTTCAAGCAGGACCGACGGTATACCATCAGGTCCATGAGAATAACTAGCAGGAAGCAATCCCCTCAAAGATCTCATACAGGGAAATCGTTACTGAGTTCAAATCAAGACCGCCTCTGCTAGAACTGTAATTAGGAGCAATCCCCGCATATTCCTTTTAGATGGAAGCAAAATTCCGAGCAAACAATTTCACAATATACTGATCGCTGCCTGCATTTTCACCGTTATAATGAATGCTATTGGGATAAGCACTCGACCTACGGAGACCATTTATATGTTTGCAGAAGGAACCTGGGTTTTGTGCCAGATCAGAAATAATTTTATCTATGTATAGGTGTACTTAGGTGATTTGTAATACTCATCCCTCCAAACTTTTCAAGTATCTCCTAAAGATGGAAACTGAATAAACGTTCTTTTGAATTTGGAATAAATTTTTGTATGCAATACGTGCGTAAAGCACCTTTTTTCACCCATGTGATTGTCGCACTCGCCTTCGGCTCGTGCGTCATAATTCACATTCGCTCGTGCGTCATAATTCACATTCGTAAAAAAAGGTTCACTTTACACACTTGTTGCATAAATAACTAATTTAATGCATAAAAATCACAATTCCTAAAATTATAATAATAATTATCACATTTAAGGCCCGTATCACAATTTTCAGGTAAGACAATTTCATAGGCTGGGTGCCTATTCGTAACAATGGATAGGCCATCCAGTGCCTGGCACACTCTTGTACTGAGTGAACTTGAAAAGATCTGATCCAAAAAATCATCAAAACAGTTTGGTATTGAATTAACTTGCTTAAGGTCCAGGTAATCACAACATGCGCACAGGAGATCAGCCGATGCAACTGACTCAGCTGCCACCACCCTTAATCCCTCCTCAGAATCCTTCCAGATTGCACCAGGCAAGTTGAAGTCCCCACACATCAAGAGATCACAATTAGGATGCCCTGTTAGATCCGAAGTAAATTCCTCATAAACTGAGATGGGGGAATATAAACCGCACCAAGAATCTGTCGTTTGGAGCCATAATAACCAATTATGAACAAATACATGCTCCTGGGTCGAATCACTGGACTGTATAAGTTGAGCTTTAATACTTTCGGGGACCGCGATTAAGGTGCCACCACCTCTATTTTTACCAGTCCTAGTTGGATTACGATCTTGCTGCAAACCATTGAAGTCAAAGAAGTTCAACTCGGCATCTGGATATTCCACATTTAGCCATGATTCAACCAAAACAATTATGTTATAAACACAGCTATTTACCTTATGCCTTAGCGCAAGCTCCCCATGTGCCTGTTTGATTTGATTTCGTTGTAAGAGAGTTAGGTCAGCTTTAATTTGAAACCTACTACCCGGCAGAGATCAACGCTTTTTCAGTACTAGGGAAGCAAGCGCACTATCAAACATAACGACTTTCAATGGTCTTCGACCACCATTTTTGGTCTTACCCAACCTAAATGCTTTGAAGTTGGGACAGTCGATTCCAATTGCAGTGAATGTGTCAGTTAAACACCCTCTGTCATGTTCAATTCTCACTTTGGATTCTTCAGAATCACTCTCAGGAACACTATACATAATAACATTTTTGTATCTGTTTGCGCGATCTCGCATTTCACTGTTTGCAAAGGCAATCTGCTGCTAATTATGGTACCCTTTTGATAAAAATCTTCACCATCATCGTCGCGGGGTCTTACAACCTTCTGCCGCATCCCGCATTTCGATCGCCATTTTTCACGGTCTCTCCATTCTTCCTCGTCTTACGTCTATCACTCTTTTATTCATAATTTTTTTGATGTTATTTATCCATGTTAGCGCCGGTCTTCCTCTCTTCCTGCTGCTCTCTGGAACGTACATCATTGGTCTCTTTGGACATCTCTCC